AACCAATGTCTTGCATGGCTAAATTCATCAGGAAGAAGTACATGGGAGTATGAAGGTGGTGATCAAAAACAACAGCAGTGATGATAAGAAGGTTCCCTGTTATGGTCATTAAATAAAGTATCAGGAAAAAAGCTACGTACATCATCTGTAGCTCCCAAATCTTTGAGAATTCCAAGAGAAGAAACACTGATGTGTCATTATCCATTTTAAAACTATAATCATGATAACCCTAGAAAAAAAGGGAGGGAACTCTTAAATAATTTCTATCCAGTTCAGTTTTCAAGGATTAGAGGACCACTAGCACTCTTTCAGTAAAATTTGATTAAACCTCAGGCCTCAACATTTACACAATATATTTCAAGCAACTTCATCACACATTCACTGTTTATCTTGCTTTGTTTAAAATTCATCATGATGATTCTTATTTAGCCATGATGATATTTAGTTATAATAAGCCTTATGACATTATTTGGTACTTGAGCTCAATTATATCTGATTAAAAATAATAATAATAATAATAATAATAATAATAATAACAACAACAACAACAACAACAACAACAACAACAACTTATAATATGTTGCCCATTTCTTCTTAAATGGGATGGGAAGTAGATCAGTCAGATATATTTATTAAGGCAGATTTTTTTTTACTCTAGCTGCTGAAAATTTGGATGGATTGGATTAGACTAAAGAATCCAAATTGGGTCAATTCAAGTCACTCTAAACTAATTCAGTCACTGAAACAAATATGTGCATGACCAAAAGCATTTCATTATTATTACTGTTGTTTGCACAGTCAGCCAGATGTTTAGACTGGATTTGGTATCTTTATCCACCTATTGACTCCTTCCCAAGGACCTGGGATAGGCAGATATTGTTGCTTGATGAAGTTAAAGGTATTGTCGCTGTTCTAAGTAAAACTGCCTTTTGCAATTGACTGGTGGTGATTTTGTCAATGCCAATGGTCTTCAAGTGGTGTTCCAGATATTTTAGGATTGCACCCAAGGTGACTATTACAACTGGTGTTTCTTTCGTCAGTCGTTCTATTTCTATTTGCAGGTCTTTATATCTTGTGATACAAAGATTTGTATTTGTATTTGTGATTTTCTCCAGTTCTTTCTCTTCTGTTCTGCTGCCTCCAAGTATTGCAATGTCCACTAGCCAGACATTTTTGTCTTTCTTATCAACAGTTGTTAAGTCTGAGGTGTTGTGTGGCAGGTGCTTGTCTGTTTGAATTCTAAAGTCCCAGAGCACTTTAGCTTCTTCATTTTCTATTACACTGTTGTTGTTATATTTTTATCCTGCCTTCTATAGGTGGCAAACATATCTAAGGCTATTGCCTCCTATTTTCCCCATAACAATCCTGTGAAATCAATTTTATCCAAATATTTAAATAGAAAGAGTACTTAATTTGGATAGTTATTTTGAATTGGAAACTGAAAGAAATTTCTTTTTCACAAAATCTCAAAACTGAATATTTGCACAGCTATAATATTTAAGAATGCATTAAAAAGTAAAGAAATAAAGAAAAGATCTTGAAATTAGGTTAAATGGTACTGTAAATCTTTTAACTGATACACTTTAATCTCAGCCTTTCAGTTCATTGCATTATATTAACTCAAGCCACTATAATATGTCTATTACAGTAATTTAAAACAAGCTTCAAGAAGAGGTAATTTTTCATTGCTTTTAGGTTTACTACTATGGTGTAGTAGTTAAGGCACCAGGCTAGAAACCAGGAGACCATGAGTCCCAGCCCTTCTTTAGGCATGAAGCCAGCTGGGTGACCTTGGGCCAGTCACTCTCCCTCAGCCCTAGAAAGGAGACAATGGCAAACCACTTCTGAAATCTTGCCAAGAAAACCGGAAGGACCTGTCCAGGCAGTCACCAGGAGTCAACAATGACTGAAAGGCACACATATACATACACACACACCACTATTAATTAAATAATACTGTGTTTATTTTTATCTCTTTTTCTGATCAGTAATGACTATAATAATAATGCCTGATATTATAACTTGTTTTAATTGAAACTGCAGTTGTAATGGAAAGGGAAGGGAATCCCATGAGCAGCATTTAAAGGAAGGAATGATGGATCACTGAAGATAAAAGTACTGTAAGTGAATGGCTCACCCTCTTTATTCATGAAGATCGTCATCTTTGCATAGCCCTAAATCAGATTTTATCCAGTGTGTCCATCATTGAGATATCTGCAGCCATCAGTGAGTTTTTATCTAATTTTTCAAGCCACTTACCCCAAAGATTTTTAAACGTATGACACTGTTGGATGTATAAAACAGCCACTGTGGGTTGGAGATTTTTCTGTACTCCCTTGGACCATATTATTTCTGCTAATGAATTCTAAGGGGGAAAAAAAGGCTCTTCTCCTGATTTGCAAGCTTAATAATGGGAGAGAATATATCAAAATAGTTCTACATTAAATCTCTCTCTTTGTTTTGAGATCTCCCTTCTTATTTTTTTAAAATATAAACATATTAAAGTTTTAAAAAAGAAAGATAAAAACTAACAAGAATTAATATTAGGAATAAAGAAAAAAGAGAGGAAAAGAAAGAAGAAAAAAAGACACAAAAGTGGAGAAAAAAGAAAAAAGGGAAAAATTAAATATATATTCTTTATATTTTCCTTCATTTACAGCAGTTATAAATATAAATTAACCTTTTACTCTATGGTTACAACGTGACTCACCTTTTTTTATGTAATCTATTTTTTTTTCCTAATCATCAAAACCATATATCATCATTTCTTTTTCTCTTTTCTTTTCTTTTCTTTTCCTGTTCACACAGAAAGTCTATAAGGTATTCCCAGTCAGCATTAAACTTAGATAATGTTTTATCTCTGTTCAAACCTGTCAGTCTAGCTATCTCAGCAATTTCCATCATCTTCACCATCTATCCCTCCATTGTGAGTAATGTCAAATCTTTCCACCTTTGTGCATATAAAAGTCTTGTTGCAGTTATCATGTATAAAAACAAAATTCCATGACTTTTTTCCAACTGTTTATTGATCAGTCCTCAAAGAAAAGCCTCTTGTTTCAGTTGTATATTAAATTTTAAAATCTTCTGAATTAATATATGAAATTGAGTCCAAAACTTTCTAGCTATTTTGCACATCCACCAAGCATGGTAAAATGTTCCCTCTTGCTGATTACACTTCCAACATAAATTGAAGTACCTTTATACAGTCTAGAAAATTTTTCTGGTGACATATACCAATGACACATCATTTTATGAACATTCTCTTTGAGACTATAGCACAATTTAAATTTCAATCCTTTCAACCACATATTGCTCCACTGTTACACTGTACATTGTAACCAAACTTTGAGCCCATACATTCTTTCACTTGCTCTTCTTCTGTTTCACATTTCATAGAATTTTATACATTTTAGCAATATGTTCATCATTTGTACACAATTCTATTTCTAACACAGTCTTACAATGCTCAAAACAAGGAGTTCTTTTATCTAGTTAAAATATTTCTAATTTTACACAGCAAAACAGTTGACAGGTAAGATCGTCTCTTAATTTTTGCATTCTCCTTGACAAAATTCTAATACATCACCATAAGGTAGCCACTTGTGCTTACTCATCATATCTGTTCGACAGTATGCTTCTTGTGCTGAGAGCCACAAAGGTATTTTCAAGCACAACCTGGGTTTATATCTATTCCATATTCTCGGTATGGATGCCTAACAAAATGGTTTTTAAAATCTACATTAAACTTAACTTTATCATACCATAGATATCCATGTCACCCAAATCTCAATTCATGACATAGTAGCTCCAAAAGTCTTCTGTTTTGCAGCAAGATCCACTCTTCCTTCCAAGGTAAACAAGCTGCAATATATAATTTCAAATCAGGTAACCCCAATCCTCCTCTTTCTTTTACATTTTGTAACACCTTGTATTAAAACCGTGTGTTTTTTTCCCCAGCCACACAAATACACACACACACACACACACATACATACATACATACGTACGTACGTATGTATGTATGTATGTATGTATATGTATATATGTTTTGAGATCTCCCTTCTCAAAAAGAATGTCTCCACCAATGTATCTGGTGTTAGTATAAAGGTAAGGATGACACATTGGCAGCACAAAACATACAGTAGTGTCCTTTTATTTGTTCACTTGTTTATTTCACAAGACTTGTAAGCAACCATAGCCAGAAATTAATTTGGCCAAAGTACCAAAGTTTCAACTCTGTAATATAGAAATAGAGATATATACATAATTTATATAAATCTATGGCATGGGAGAGAGTGTTCAGAAGTCCAAAGAAGGCTATTCCAAAGGAGGTGGGGGTAGACATTTAAAAGGCAGACTTCTGTGACACCTTCAGATATCAGTCCCTGAGCGAAGAGACTTATCTTATCAGGTGGGGTGATGTTATTGGGAGAAGGTGATAGATATGAATGGTTTTAAAAGGTACGAATGGTTTTAAAAGTGACAACCACAACCTTGAATTGTTCCAGGAATCTGAATGATAACAAGTGTAGCTCTCAAAGCAGTGGTGTACTCTGAGCAGTGTTCTCCTCAGGTTGCTACATTCTGGACCAAGTACCTCTTCCAAATGTTTTTCAAGGATAGCACCTTGTAGAACATGTTGCTGTACTCCTGAGAGAGGTTACACAGAGAAAAGCCACTGTGCTTGATCTTATCAAGTGGGAGATTCTAATTATGGCCAGCCCGGTGTACAGCATGACGGAATAGTCCAATGGAGAAGTGAGTAAGGGAGGTGTGACTGTAAATAAAACCTCGCATTTCAGGAGGTGTTATAACTGGAGCACCAGATGGAGCAGTGCAAAGACCCTCCAGGTCATAGTTGCCACCTAGTCCTGGAGCAGGAATTGTAAATCCAGGAAGATTCTGAATTGTTGAGCCATTTCAGTGCAGGGATTAACTTGTTCCTTCCCATCCAAACCCAGACAGCTCCAGCCACCTGA